GTAGCGACCGAGCTCAAGCCAAGCTCGGTCGTTACGTAGCGATTGAGCACGCACATGCTTGGTTTCTACGTAGCGACTGAGCTCGAGCAAAGCTTGGTCGCTACGTAGCGACCGGACTATCCCGAAGATCAACGTAAACCCGAGTCCTTACACTCTCATTTACTCTTTGATGAAATCTTCCGAAGTTCACACTTTAACTACCACTCTTTCCTTATCGATCATAGTTATCGTTCAGACATTACGATAAAAATCGTAAAAACAAATTTTATCACAAAGAAACCGTAAAAACCTTTCAAGTCGAAATACGGTCCAAAGAGGTGTAGAACGCGACTAGAAGCCCACTTACGGTTTTTTATTAGAAAGACCACAGATCCTATGGCAGTTTATCCTTGGACGGCAAGAAAAGATAAATGTGAAGTTCCCGCGGATAAATGTTAAAGTTCCGAAGATAATCATGAAGATCGGGAAAAATGGAAAATCTCTGTTTTGGGCTATGACGGCTTAAGGGTAGAAGTTGAAAGCGCAAACCAACTTCGGATGGAGTATATAAGGATTTCTAGGCGAGAAAAACGGGGAGACAGAGAAAAAATTAGCACTTAGAGCATTTAGGCAACTTTTCGTTTTTGTTATTAGAGCTGTGTCTCAATTAAGGTTTCCGCAGTCTTAGGTTGCTAGAAATAGGATCTCGCCGTCATCTCTTGTAGCCAAAGCTCCTAACTCGTTGTAACGCTCAAACGCTAATTCGGAATAAGACTTCTTTTGCTCTCTTTCAATTCGTATTCGTATTTGTATTCTTATTATCATCTTTTTACTTATTGTTCTTGATTGCTTGGTGTGTGGTATACAGATAACCGGGACCTCTGAGAAATTAGGGTTTATCTTACGTTCCTAATTCAACGAAAATCGACAGTGCGAATTTCGGTTCCCATAATACTCATTTGGGTATTTTTACATTTTGGGTAGGATTCGAGTATTTTTAGTTTAGACTCGGTTATTTTAGATCGGGTTCGGATATTTAGTTTCTGAAAAAATTAAATTCTTTGTTTAAATTTTTTGTATTTAAAAAATATATTTTTAACTTAACTGATTCTTAATTTTTATAGGATGATAATAGGTTTGGAGATAAAATTTAAGAACAAAAAGCCACTAATTTGATTGTTTTTAAAAATAAATATATTGCATCAAATAAGAATTTGACATGCATTTTATGTGAGTAGTAAATAAATTTGTCTGAAATTATATGTATATATATTTGATGTTAAATCATGTGTAACATCAATATAAATATTTTGAAATAAATAAGGAAATTAAACTAGAAATATTTGATTATACTATACATATGTTTGGTTATAGTTGGGTATGTGTTCGAGTTTAGATATCAAATCTCTCCTAATTCAATCTTCGTTTGGATATTTTGCTATTTTAGTTTGGATTTCGGTTCAGATTCTTTAGATCAAGTTCTGGTACGGATTTGGGTATCGGGTGAAATACTCACCCATATTTATACCACACAAAAAATACCTAACAATCGTCGGACAGAAAAAAAAAATATGTACTCTTACAATCTCCTGAGTATTTCGTAGTATTTAAAAGTTAACACAGTAGGCTTTAAGATTTTTTATATCGTCTGACAATCTTGTAAAACCAATATTGAATCTATACTATTAAACTAGATTATAACCCACGCCATGCGCGGAGTGATCTTTTTAAAAATATGTTGTATTTAAATACATATTTTGCTATCAATAACTTTTTTTACATTTGATTAAGAATGGACATTTGGGTAGCATTTGGTTCGTTTAGATTCTTTTTGGTTTAGATATTTGTGGTTTGGTTCGAATCTTTGAAGGTTTGGATTGAGTTTAGGTTCGGATAACCCATTTAATTTTTTTTTAAAAGATTAAAATTCATATATACTTTAAATTTTTCAAAATCTAAAACTAAAAATAATATGTAACATATAAATATGAAAAATGAATGCCAAAATACCTAAACTTAACATAAAATTGGTTTATCTTAAATACTTGGACAAAAAATCAATAAAAAATTCAAATATTTTGGTATTTAGAGTATTGTTTAGCTATTTTAAAAATGTACGTTTAACTATTTTATATATTTCTTAGTATTTTTGAAATTTAAAAAAAAAATTCATGTATTTTGTATATTCTTAGATGTGAAATTTAAAAATAATTAATATATTTAAGTATATAAATATGTTCGAGTACACTCGGATACCCAAAATACTTTGATTCAGTTTTAGTTCTCTAGATACCAAAATTTCGAATCCAGTTGGATATCTAACAAATTTTGGTTAAATTTTTTTACTACTTTTTGGATTAGATTTGGTTCAGTTATCTAGATCCATTTTTTTGTCCAACCATATATTTTTTATTGTAACAAAAATTTAAACGAAAGGGATGATGGTTCATATTGATTTTGGGTATGCAATAGTTTTTAAACATAACACACTCTATTATGCGCGATCCATTTAATTAATCATTATGAACTGTTTAAGACCCATTAGAAAAATGATTGGCCGAACTACAAAAAGTTAATATTAATTTTCAATGTGAAATTTTTACCATTTTTAGTAATTTATGATCGCTTTAAAAAAATTAAAATATAACATATAATAAAAAAAAATTTTATTATATGATTAATGTGATTTTTAATTACTTTTAATAATATAAAATTAAATAAAAATTAAAGACGATAAAAAATTGTTATCAAATTTTTATTATTCATTAACATTAATTATGATATTAATCATATTAGGTAATTCCATAGCTTGTATCTAAGGAAAAAATAGGAAATATTCTTTTGTAAACTACTAATTAAATATGATATTTAGTATAATGAAAATATAATATATGTTTAGTTGGACCAACATATTTCTCTAAGAGTTATGAAAATCATTCTCATTGTGACACGTGGCTACCAAAAAGTATTGTAATGCTCCAGGATTAATACATAGGGATTTAAACTACTAATCAAAAATATTATATGTGAAAATTTTAAGTGTAAATGGTCAGTTCAAAAATTTTTTTTTAATGTTTTATTAATTTATAGTCGTTTTAAAAAATTCTAACATATATCAAAAAATCTATTTTTTTTGTTATATAGTTAATGTTATTGTTTAATTTATTTTCAAAATATAAGTTTAGCAAAAATAGTAGAGGCTGTAATCAAATATTCATATTCGAATAATTCATTTTCATATATATATTATAACCATAATAGGTAATTTCGTAAATTTTATTTGAAGAAATAATGAATAGCATTAATAATAGTTTATGTTTAGTTTAATAAAAATTATATTATATGTTTATATGCATCAATATTTTTCTCTAGTAAATTTGAGAAGCATTCTCATGACGAGACGTGACTACCATAATATGTTTTAATGCTTCTCAATTAATATATAAGAGATCAAATCAGAATTCATCCAATATTTCCGTCTTTAGTTAATTGAGTTATTTACAATGGTATGTCACTAAGTAATATAAATTTTTCTTTATTAAAAAAACTCGCCTATAATAGATACACTCCTATAGTCCTATAAATATGGAATTTTTTTTATTCTTCAGTCAATTGTTTAATTCTTGAAAATAGTTTTAGGCCGCAATCTATATCATTTAATTTAACCAAATGATAAATATATTTCATGCGAATTTACAAATGATGATTACATGATTCTTTTACATTTCAAAAATAGATTCAGAAATATTCAAACAAGTATATAAAATCTGTATTTTAAGTTCAATATAACTCTATCAGAGCTTGGATATGATTTGGGCCCAATACGTTGGATCCTCTTTTTCGTATTCGTTTTAGTATATGGGCTTTGAATTCGATTTAATTTTTGAAAATTCAAAAAATAATCATTTTTAAGATATTAGTCATCAAAAACATGTTAAAAACTATTAAATAATGTTTATTTAAATACAAATTTTATGCTATAAAATTATATATTTAAAAATAGAAAATTTTGCACTTTTAAAATGAAAATCAAAATCTAGTATTCTCTTAATTTAGTTTACGAAAATGATAAAAGAAAGGTTCTATAACTATCTCAAGCCCAACTTAGAGAAATCTGTTTGTATTTATTTCATCGGTTGTAACTGGATCAACAAAATTTGAAATCGAAATATGCCCATTCCATTTGATTCCAAAATAAACTACCAACTACATGGAACAAAAAAAAGATCACATGCATTCCAATAATTTGTGTGGGATAAATAGAAACAAAAGGAATATAATAATAAATCATTCAGAAGAAAAAAGTTAAATGAATGTAATGGAATAGAATAAAATTAGATATTTTGATTATATTTACATAGTATTTATATATTTGCAGTCAAATGATAGAGTTGCTAAGATTTTTAAACATCGGAGATGTTGAGTTTGAAGAAACAAAAACAGAAAATGATGTTTTACATAGTAATCAAAATAATGATGATATAGATGATTATGAGAGTGTTCAAAATGAGAATGATGTAATAGCTGAAACTTATATGAAAGTTGTTCATGATCAAACTAACAAGGATATTTGGATTGTAAAACATTGTACGCATCGTTCCTAACACTAGATTTCACTAATAAAAATGTTTAGTACTATATTAAAGTTTAAATAAATCTTTTTACTGTGTTTTTATCATTGTTTACTAATTTAATTGTCTCTTCGTTTTTGTTTATATGACGTTGTAGGCTTTTACACAATTAAAGTATCCAATACAATACCTTTTCTATCCTTATCATTAAATAATTATCATGAATTTCATAAAGAACAAAGTAGAGTAAATACAAGGTAAATATAGTCATTTGTCACTATATTCTACATTGTTTTTTGGAAAGCGTTAATTAAATTGAAACAAGAAAATGATTCCAAAATGCTAATTATAAGAAAACAGATGGAGTAAAATTTATTTTACTGTTAGATACATTTAAGTAGTATAATAAGAATAGTCTTAATAATTTAATTAAAATTATAGCTAATATCATTCAATTACATTTTTAAAATTTTACCATTTGTATTATAAAAAATTATGCGATTACTCATTCCATTTTATGTTATTCCATAATTGCTACCATTCCAACATCCACATTCCATGTGACAACTCCCTCTTTGTAGCAACATGGTGAGCTTGAAGCATATTGTGATACTAACTATAATCAATTAAGCTTTCCACTGGAGAAATCAGATATCAGCTTCACAAACTGTTTAGGGTTCTCAACATGTGGAAGATGACCGGAATCTGGTACCTCCCGGAAAACCGCATTTTGTAGCTCACACAACAATTTCTGCATTAGTTAAAACCAGTATTTCAAACTCCGGATAGATATAGCCAAATGTCCAGACCAAACTATTCGGTGTTTGTGATTAACGAAACTTACTACTGAAAGTTGGTTGCTAACAATCTGATCATTCTCACTGCATACAACGAGCGTCTTGTGGTTGATCTGTGGTATTATACCCAACATATTAACAAATAAAAACTAGAAAGTTTAGATTAATCGGTTCTTCGTTGTGACTGAATAGCTAAGTGATGGAATTTCGTTACGAGTTTGATCTGTGAAGCAACATTATAGCCCCCGCTAATCATAAAGTTGACCATCGCATCTTCCCACCACGGCATTTGACAGTGTAACCGGCCAATCTAGAAAAAAAAACATATATATTTTCAACCAATCAAAATTTTTAACGATCAATTTAACGTATGAAATAAAAAATAAAATAGAGGGAGACTTGATCTTACATTAGTCCAATCTATATTCTCTGACAAGGGCGATGAAAAGGCTAACACGTTGGCCAAAAGGCGAAGAGGAAACGACTTCAACAACTTAACCTAAAACAATAGCTTAAGAATTGTAAAAGTACTTTACAAAAAGAAGTAGTCTTGATATTATGCTTATAGGCAATATAATGAGAATTTGATATAGTATTATTAACAGTATAGATGGTTGTATAATTTACATATTTAACTCTTAAAAATCTGGGAATCAAGACTAAGACCATAATCAGGTCCGGCTCAAAAATATTTTGGGCCCATGGCAAGAAAATTGTTGCCGAAATTTTTGTTTTTACATATATTTATAGTATTTAAAATATTCTAGGACTTTTTATATGTTTTTTTAATAAAAATTAGACCATTTTCTTTTTCTATTTATATTTTTCTATAAAAATTGGGTTATTTTTCTTTAAAATTGGACTATTTTCCTTTAAGTTAGGTTTTTTTTCTTTATTATTTATGAAAAACAAATTGGACCCATGGCCGATGCCCTTTTGGCCATGGGTAAGAGCCGGGCCTGACCATAGTTATATTACTTTATATTGATGATCAACCTTTTCAGTAAAAGTAAAAAAAAAAAAGAAAAAAAAGAGTTTTTCAGACAAACCCCAGCGTAAGCAATTGATTTTGGTAAATCTTTAAGAGCACCTGTTCCTTCTGAATACGCGTTCGCATTAATGAGAACCAGTTTATCAACCTGAAAGTTATAAAGCAGAGGATGTGTGTGACTAAGAAATGTATAAAGATTGGTTTAACGGAAATAGTAATTTACGGCTTCAGGGTAAGTAGCAGTGAAATCAACAGCTACGGTTGCTCCTAAGCTTGGTCCAACTAAAATCATTGGTCGTTTAATATATGTTTTCCAAAGCTGAAACTCAAATCAAAACACACAGATTAACCAAGAGGAAATATCATGTATCTAACCACATAATTGTATTTCTCGGCAGTCACTATTAAACGGTCGATATTCCTGTTTTCTTATAATGTATAGTGAGTACTGACCTCGAATAGATGATGTCGCTTAGATGCTGCATCACATGGTGGAAGTTTCTCTACAATGTTCATTAAATAAGTGAGTTCTTAAATTTAAATAAAAATAGTACTGAGTTATTTTTTTGGACATATTATACTGAGTTATTGGAACTGTAAAACGAAAAAAAAATAGTGAGTTCTTGAAACTGAAAACAAATAAAATAATGAGTTCTTTGAATTGTAAATGAAGTAATCACGAATACCCATATACTCTATAAAACGATTCTCAAGAATGTAATAATTTTTGTTAAAGTAAGTTGTGTGTAAATCTTACGTAGATCAGAGAAGCCCCAACCAAGAACATCAATAGCCCAAGTCTCAAGACAAGCTTGCTCAAGCAGAGGATACGCACGTCTCCATTCAAGACACGAACTATGCCAAAAAAAAAAGATCTCAGTAACGTTCAGGCACAGTAACTGAGCTATGGAATTGACTTTGTCTTGTTGGCAATTGGCAATCAAACCTGTCGAAACAATGGAGAAGAACAACAGGACTTTTGTCGGGTAATAGAATAGTTGGTTTGATACAGCTACTCATTACGCAGCCTCTAAAGTTTCCCATCTGCAAATACATTTTCTATTTTTATTTCCAAAAATCGAGAAACCAAGGAACAAGGATCGAGAGATAAGATGTAGAAACCTGAAGAGGAACAGGAATCCGTACAATCCTTTGAGCCAGAGCTCTTGCGAATGGATCTTTTATATCTTTTACCTCCTTGGGAAGAAATTTTGGAAACCCATCTCCATTCGCTGTTATCTGCCACTGCCGCCCGAATATAGGCGTTGGAGGCGGTGGAGAGACCATTTTCAAGCTAAACATCATCTCTCTCCTTCTCTCTGCTCTCGAGCTTTGATTGTGGTGAATCGAGTGCTTCTTCTTAAGCTTTGTTAGCTAAATATGGAACTACTGGATTATTTGTGACATTGAAGAGAGTAACTAGAAATGGAAAAGATAGTTATGTTAGCAGTCGGACCATTTTCATGTAGTTTAAATTGAAATGCAACTACCCAACGGAAGTCCCTACCCTACTTCGTATTTTACTGTACTTTTTGTTTGCTAGTTTTGATTGATGGATCATTAAGTACAATAATTAACTTATTTTTTTGTACTTTTCTTTAGAAATGACCACACAATTTCTTCTGACATCTTTACAAGCTTTCTTGTTTAGAAAGCTCGAAGACAAAAGAAAAACTCAACCCTCACCGAGAAAATTCATACTCTGCTATAATATCTTTCAAACAGTAATTAAAAATTCATTCTTAGTGGGAGGGAGTGGAATGGCTCAAAGGTCAATATCCTCCATGTCATCCTAACCCACATGTGACCATGTGTGTCCGAAACTTTCATGCGAGTCAAAAGCAATATGGGGTCTAGACTCTAGTCATTAGTTTAATGGAAAATAAAAGGCAAGTTAAATGCCTAGACTCGAACACAAAATCTAGTGCAGCTCCCACCAAAGAGTTTTCTAAGAACATCTGTAATGGCAGATCTTACAATAATTCTTAGGAAAATATTAATTTTATAATCAATGGGTCTCATGAACAGTTAATGATTTTATCCTTAAAATTTTTATGTAAGGATTGATCCTTACACTATTTACGGGCTCCATTGTCCACGTAGCGGTCCGTAAATGGTCAGTTTCTTTTTTTTAAGGAAAAAATCTGAAATATCTTTATATAATCCAAAATACCCCTTTTTCATTTTTCTTAAGAATTCCCCTAAAGATCCGTCATTGCGGATGCTCTAAGATATAGTGTAACGGATCTGGATACGTTGTTTTAAGTTCGGTGTATATATACATTTATTTAATGTAATGGATCTCAAATCCACGTAGAAATAGGTTTAGATTACGGAATTCGTGATAATGTGTAAAAGAAAGAAATCAATGAACTGGCATATTTTGATGATTACGTATAAAAGATTTGTATTTGATTGATAATATGATTAGAATACAGTTATGGAATACAAAGGGTATGATTAGACACGAACTGTGCCAAACCTATAGTCTTAATCATCTTCCTCGTCGTGGTTCCCTCTTTTATAGGTGTTGCTGCTTTTATGGTTGTTTTATATAGGTTACTAAGGTCGATTCACCGTATGCGCGAAATATAGTTTATGTGTGATGTATATAACTATGTAATTATATTGTTTCTTTGCGTGATTTTATGTAAGCTTTTGCAAAAAGAAGTATATGTAGCAACGTCTATGGCTATATTTTGGATTTGGACTCTTAAAAAGTAGGTTTGTGGATTATCGCTTGTATAAATGGATTGGGCCCAACATAATTGTATTTTGTTAAGGTTTATGTTAGGCTTTATGTTTGCATTAGTTTTTGGTTTTTAGATTTGGTTTTAGATTTTGGTTTTTGGTTTTTAGAGTTTAGGTTTTTGTTTTCTATTTTCAGCTTTTGGTTGTGGATTTTAGTTTTTAGATTTGATTTTTGGTTTTTCTGTATTTTTAGTTTTTCAAAAAATAATTAATAGCTTGTGTTAAAATAATAATAAAATATTTATAAGTTATCACTAAAATTTATCAAAATAGAGTAATTGTTATTTAAAATAAAATTCATTAACATGTTTTCTAATTATTACACTAAAAGATAAAAAAATAAAATTTATATAAATTATAAAAATTAAAATATTTTGCAAATTTTAAACTATTTATAACTTTTCTTATATGTTTTTTATATATTTTAAAACCTGAAGGGGTATTTTCAAATTAATATTATATATTTTATTAATAAAATAATTAAGTTTTTACAATTTTTAATTATTTTTAGTGTGTCTAATAATTATTACAATTATTCAATGAATTTATATAGAAACTAATAACTTATTTTTTTATAGAAAATTAATAACTAATTGTTTACAATAAATAAGGTTATATAAAAATATCCGATGTACTGACATATATGAAACACAAATAAATTATTTTAAACTAAGGTTTGAATGATTTAGTATCTACAAAGAATTGTATGGATAATTTATCTTTATGAAAATATTATTTATTTAACTAAAATATAGATTTTTTACAAAAAAAATGAAATTCGTTTTTGTAGTAGAAACCCACAAAAATTAGTTTTTGGCTTTTCTTTACAAATTGGTTAAAACTTTGACAAACTAGTTTCTCTAAATTTTAGGGAATCTATTTGTTTAAAAACTTGATTGGCAAAAAAATGGTTTTTACAAAAACAAAAACCAAAAACCAAAAACAAAAACTTGATTGGAAAAAAAAATGGTTTTTAGAAAAATAAAAACCAAAAACTAAAACAAAAACTACAAACAATCAGCCTCTCAGTTAACAATGAAGATGATGAAGATAGATATATTCTAATACTTTCTTTAATTTATTTTAAAACTTTAATTATCTGTTTTTAAAAGTTTAGTAACACAAATGATTTAAACCATCGATTGGACACATCTTTTGTAATAAATCAATAGATGGTGTCATTATATCTATTATATTAAAAGAGAAGTCACAACTTCTCTTCATGTGTGATATTTTTAAAAATGGACCATTCTTAGAAAACAATGTTTCATTTATATCTTAATAACATATTATATAACTTAGTTACAATATCTTTTGATATCTTTTATTTTCTTTGAAATAAAATAAATATTTTAAAGAGAATTCTAACAAAATCTTTTAGAATCTTTTTCAAAAAAATATATTAGATTTTAAAAAATATATAGATATCAATTCATTGTAGTTAGAAAAAGACACAAGTGAATAAAAATAGGAAATTTTTTTGTTAAATTTGTGTTTCACTTAACGTTGGAATATGTCAATTGTTTTTATTCGTTTA